TCCAGGCTCTGATGGTAGAATGACAGGGTGCAATGTAGAGATGACATGTGCTGATCCCTGAAGAAGAACTTGAGGTTTTGGATTCATATCTTTCAGGATTGCAGCTATTTTGCTAATTTATTACTCAGAATAGGGCTACTGCATATCTGCTTCTAGACTTTTTAGGGTGGTAGTGGAAAAACTTATAAGAGGTTGGAACTCTCACTTGGAAATACATTTCACAAAAGAGTCATTATTACTTTTTTTTAAGATAAAAATACTAATTAAAAATCTAGCATAGGTTCTAAGATCTGACTTTTTCAATGCTGGATGGCAGATGACATTCTTTGGGAGGCGATGTCTGCTCTATCAGGACCCCGCGGCATATTTTATTCTAGTTTATCAGACCTCCATTTGGGAAATTACTACTTTAGGTCTGGGTGTTAAATGGTATTTCTAGAAGCATGAGCATATTAGTGCATCTTATGTTTCAAGATATTCCATTGCCAAGAAAATTGAACACTGGAAGCATTTACTTCCTTTGTAACAAAAACAAACAACAACCCCAGTCCCCCCAAACCCAGCATTCATTGGTGTAGACTAAGCATGTCCTTATTTTTTTTTTGTTATTTGGATAAGAGAAAAGAGAAAATACAGGAGGAGAACTCGGTATTCATTGGCCTTTTATCAAGGCTGGAATATTTCAGACTTGGCTAATTTTCAGACCAGCAGGAGATTACCACCGTGTTCAAATTTCACTTTGAAAATTAAAATGGTGAGCGGCCTACCTTTCATTTGACCTGTGAAGCTAAAACCATTGGCATGCAGTTATTTTGAGAGTATCATATTTGGGGAAGACTTTTCTTTTCTTAAGAAATAAACCTAAGAACTAAAAAAAAAAAATTGATTGTGGAAACGAAGGAGAAGTGTAGAGGAGGCAAACTCTGCCCTCTTAGGGACTCCTGCTGGGCAAGAATTAAACTGACCTAAGACAGAGTAACAGGAAGAAAAATACAAGTTTTATTAAAAATTTTACATGTACATGGGAACCTTCAAAAGAGAATGAAACCTGAAGAAGTGACCAGAGCAGTAAGTTTCCTTCCTTCCTTCCTTCCTTCCTTCCTTCCTTCCTTCCTTCCTTCCTTCCTTCCTTCCTTCCTCCCTCCCTCCCTCCCTCCCCCTCTCCCCCCTCCCCTCCCCTCTTCTCTTTCTTCTCTTTCTTTTCTTTTCTTTTCTTTTCTTTTCTTTTCTTTTCTTTTCTTTTCTTTTCTTTTCTTTTCTTTCTTTTCTTTTCTTTCTTATCCTCACCTGAGGACCTTTTGCATTTATCTTCAGATAGAGTGGGAGGGAGAGAGGGAGGAAAAGAGAGAGAAACATCGGTGTGAGAGAGAGACATCAAATGGTTGCCACCCACACGACCCCAACAGGGGCCGGGGACAAACTGTAATGGAGGTACGTGCCCTCTGGTCTGCGGGCTGAGGCTCCAACTGCTGAGCCAAACTGGCCAGGGCTTATTTATTTCTTTATTTTGTTAATCCTCACCCAAGGATATGTTTTTTCCATTGATTTTAGAGAGAGTGGAAGGGATGGAGTGAGGGGCAGAGGGGTGGGAGAGAGACATTGATTGGTTGCCTCTCACATGTACCCTAACAAGAGCTGGGAATTGAACCTGCAACCCAGGTATGTGCCCTTGACTGAGAATGAAACCCTCCACCATTCAGTGTGCAGGCCGATGCTCTAACCATTGAACACACCAGCCAGGGCTAGTATACCTTTTAGACAAGGAAACAATACATTTGTGAAAATTGTGCAAGACCAGGGTTTTGGGCTATTGCCATAAATTGTGTAGAAATAACTGGGGAAATAAGGGTTAGTTTAACAAGGCTTGTTTGTGCCTTGAGTCTGGTCTCTGCAGGTAAGAATAAACACCTTTCCTTGTAGTACAGAGAAGACCATTCACATGGGAATTTTATCTCCTGTTTTCAGGAGGAAAAAGGAGGATCAGCGTGCCCTTCTTGCACCTGCTGTTTCTCAAGTGCCTTCAGCTCAAAATAAGTTTTATGGTCAAAAGGTATATTTTGGAATGAGATAGTCTGGTTTCCCTCAAAAGTAGTATCTTCTTGAATTAGGCTTGTTATAGGTGCAGTTGAGCATTTTCATACATTTTCTCTGTTGATATTAGGCAAAGGATTTGAAAAATATTAAATAATATCAAAATACAAGGACTGATAAGAAGTAGGCTGAATTAGAATAGAGAAAACAGCACACACCAAGAATGGCAGTGTTGAAGAGGGATAATGCTCATGATATAAAGTGAGAGGCTTTGTCGGACCATGTGAGCTCTGTGAGAGCAGAAATGAGGAATATGCTCAGCCTCCTTATTGTAGGATTTCTATTGTTTTCTTGAATACATTTAAAAATAAGATTAAATGACTTCTCAAGTCCAATGTTTCAGATGTTATTTAGTATATTCAGACATTATTGAGCAATGTATGCTTATTTCTCAGATCAAGGGTTAAAATCACTTAGAGCACCTTAAAAGCAAACTTCATGCCTATTCCCTCTCTAGGTGAACTGATTTGTTACTCAGCGGTGGGATTTGTGCATTGGTGTATGTTTAATTTTTTTTTTTTTTTATCCTCACCCGAGGACATTTTTCCATTTTTTGTTCAGGTAGAGTGGGAGGGAGAGAGAGGAACAGAGAGAGAGAGAAAAACATCGATGTGAAAGGAACACATCGAGTGGCTGCCACCCGCACAACCGACCAGGGCCGGGGACAAACTGCAACCGAGGTACATGCCCTTAGCGGGAACCGAACCCGGGTCTCTCAGGACCGCAGGCGGACGCTCTAACCACTGAGCCAAACAGGCCAGGGCTAATTTTTTTTCTTTATTGATTTTAGAGAGAGAGGATGGGAGAGGGAGAGAGAGGAACATTGATGAGAGAGAACATTGATTGGCTGCCTGCTGCATGTGCCCACTGGGGATCGGGCCCACAACCTGGGCATGTGCCCTGACTGGGAATCCAACCGGCGACCTCTTGGTGCATGGGTCAATGCTCAACCACTGAGCCACACTGGCCGGGTGGTATATCTTTAAATCTCCCCAGATGCCTTGGCCAGTGTGGTTCAGCAGTTAGAGCATCAGCCTCTGGATCAAAGAGTCCTGGATTCGATTCCAGCCAAGGGCACGTACCTCAGTTGCGGTTCATCCCCAGCCCTGGTTGGGGTCATACGGGTGGAAACCAATCGATGTGTTTCTCTCACACTGATGTTTCTCTCTCTCTCTCTTCCTCCCTCCTGGCCTAGCTGAAGATAAATGGAAAAATATCCTTGGGTGAGGATTAAAATCAATCAATCAATCAATCAATCAATCAATCTCCCCAGATGAAACTAATAAACAGCCAGGGATGGGAATCTCTGACTTAGATCTTTTGTCACTAGTATAGTGTATATTTAACATTTCAAAAGACCAATCAACAATAGTGAAGTCTGCAGTAAACTTGTAGGATTTTTCGCAAAACATATGGAAGTCCATCTGACTAGCCTGTTAAGGCAGCCGCAAGGCAAATTATTATTTTTTAAATCATCTTAATAATTCTTTAGCATCTAGTACATTTATTTTTAGATGTAGAACAAATTGTTTTCCAAGTTACCAGTTCTTGAGGTGTGAAATGAAGCCACCCTCCACGAAAATGTGGTTTGATTTGGCCTGTGTCTCTCAGCATGATTCACAAGTGCATCCAACCTCTCCTCTTCCCGAGAGCCTCCACGCTGTGCGTGACACTGGAAGGGATTTGGCATATTCATGTAGAAGTTCTAACTAAATGTAGCACAGTAGATATTATGAGCTTTCGAGCTGTAATATAAAGCCTGCCATAGCACATTTCTTGCAGATCAAGAAAAAAAATGCAAAGCCAATATACTTTTGTGTAGACATTGTTATGAGGTTATATATGTGACTGGAAAGCCACTTTGTGTGTGTGTGTGTATATGTGTATGTGTATGTGTATGTGTATGTGTATGTGTATGTGTATGTGTATGTGTGTGGACAAATGCCCACCAGCTATCAATGGTATCCATATAGTTTTTTGGGGAATATATTTGCCAGGTTGCTCTGCCATACCAAGTTGCATAATCATTATGAAAGTGAATGGTCAGAAATTTCTGTATTTTTTTCTTTAGTTTTCCCTCTATTTATCATATTTTATGTGTTAGTGGAGAAGTGTTTATAGACCTCCTCGTTGAAAAGTCTTTTTTTTTATTAAAAAATTTTTTTTTTCTTTATTGATTTTAGAGAGAGAAACATTGATGAGAGAAAAAACATCGATTGGCTGCCTCCTGCATGCCCCCCACTGGGGATCGGGCCCACAACTTGGGCATGTGCCCTGACAGGGAATAGAACTGGCAATGTCTTGGTGCATGGGTCGATGCTCAACCACTGAGCAACACTGCTTAAACAAAAAGTTTTCCGTTTATCTCTTAGAAGTAAGGTTTATTTTAAACAGCTTTATTGAGATACAATTCACACATATACTTTACCTATTTGAAGTGTACGGTTTAATAGTTTTTAATATATTTACAGAGTTGTGCAACCTTCACCAAAATCAATTTTAGAACATTTTCATCACCTCCACAATTCATCACTTAGCTGTTAACAACCCAACTCCCCATAACCTGGGCAAACACTTATCTACTTCCTGTCTCTATAGATTTGTCTATTTTGGACATGTTATATGAATGGAATTATACAATATGTGGTCTTTTGTGTCTGGATTTTTTTTTCACTTAGTGTAGTGTTTTCAAGATTTCTCTACTTTGTAGCATGTATCAGTACTTCATTCCTTTTTATGGCTAAATAATATCCCATTGTATGGATATGGCCCATTTTATTTATCAGTGGATGGACATTTGGATGAGTTGTTTTTTAAATAGGAAGAAACTGTTAAAAAGTTGAAGCTCCTACATCTTTTTAACATTGACAAAAACATGTCCTTCATCACAGGTAGAAGTGTCACCCGCTATGAAGACCAGCATCCTGCTTATGTCCCTTTGGGGGCTGTCCTGTGCTCTTCCAGTAAGTATCAGGAGAGGGATACATGAAAAAAAGAAACCCCCCAAACCTTTTATACCTAAAATTTCACATTTTTCATTGGCTATGAGCCAAGGTGGCTATGTATGTTTCAGTCAGATGAAAACAGTAGTTTCTTAGGGAGCTGTTTTCTTTAAAATGTCATTTGAGTTATTCCTTATTGTGTTCAGTGGCCATTGATACCAGCCACGAGTCTCACTTTTCTCTCTCCTAAGCAGTGGCTCTCAAAGCGTCATCCCCAGACCAGCGCCATCAGCATCAACTAGAACTTTGTTAGAAATGTAAATTCTTGGGTCCTACCTCAGTCCTACTGAACTAGACTTTCTAGGGATGGTGTAGCACAATCTATATTTTAACAGGTCTCTAGGTGATTCTGGTACTTGCTAAAATTTGACTACTACTGCTCCTAATTAAGTAAGGTGCCTTGGAAATTTCTCTGTGGGCTGACCATGTGCACTGAATTTTCTAGGTAGCCAGGCATCAACATACTGACTCTGAGAGCTCTGAAGAATGGAAGGTGAGTAGAAATAAGATTTTTTGAAATATTTTAAATATATTATTAGTATAACCAAATGATCTTCACTACAAATGTTGAAACTGTTAATGATTTAATGAACACATTAATAACTTAAGACATAGGTAGTAAGAGCTATAATTTTTAGCTCATATAAGAAAATTTAGTTCATATAATACTTCAATTCCAACTTAATAGTATAATAAGGAAGCCTTTTCTTCTTTAGCTTTATTTCCATAATGGGTGTGTATAATAGTGCAAGGGGATGGAGGACAAGGAACCGAGACTGTCCTTGGAGGATTAGGACTAGAAATACGTTTTAGCAGATGTCTGGGTAGGCAGCAGGCCAAGTCCTGGAAAGTGAGAGAAGAAAGAAGAATGCGAGGACACTACAGTCCTTGGAATGATAACTAACAACGGTTGAGTGTTGACTCTGAGTGACCTGATAGTTATGAACTCTCAAAGACTCAAGAACCATTGACAGACACAGTTCTGTGTGCTTTTTCAATTCATAGCACCTAATAAACTAGGTGCTGTATTTTATTTCCATTTTACACACGGGAACCCTGAGACAGAGAGAGTAACCTAGTCTGTCTGGGTTATATGGTTAAGAAGTATTAGAGCCAGACTTTGAACCGGGTCACTCTGGATCTAGATGCACCCTCTACCAGGTGTCCTATCCCCGTCAGGAAGGTGCCGGGTCTAGGAGGTCAGTAGGTTCTCAAGTTTAGAACTACAAGGGCTAAAATCTTCTCTCAGTAAGAGTGTCTTGTTTATTATCTTGTTTCCTGCTGCGTATGATAGAGCGTATGCTGTTAGTGGTGGGAAGATCATGCCCGAGGCCTGAGAGGGGGTCCTGCCCCTGACTGAGGCTGGAAAGGACATGGCAGGATTTCTTACGAACTTGTCTCAGAGATGTCCTTAGGCTAGTTAATTTCAAAGCAGCCACTGTGGATCCTTTCACTCATTCAGCCTGAGACTAAGAGTACCACACACATACTGTGTTCTGGCTCTGGCATGAGAAAAATACCAATGTCTTGCTCCCTTCCGCCCCTTAATTCCAAATGACAACTGACTGTTTCGCTTAGCATAATACTCTCCAGATCCCTCCATATCATCTCAAAGGATAAGAGATCTTTCTTTCTTACAGCTACATAATATTCCATTGTGTATATGTACCACAGCTTTTTAATTCATTCATCTACTGATGGGCACTTGGGTTGTTTCCAGATCTTAGCTATCGTAAATAGTGCTGCTATGAACATGGGGGTGCATACATTCTTTCTGATTGGTGTTTCAGTTTCTTAGGGTATATTCCTAGAAGTGGGATCACTGGGTCAAATGGCAGTTCAATTTTTAACTTTTTGAGGTAACTCTATAGTGTTTTCTACAGTGGCTGCGGCGGGGGGAGGGGGGTGTCAATGGGGGAAAAATGAGAAACATCTGTAACAAAAACAAATTAATAAAAAAAACAAGCAAACAAACAAACAAAAAAGCAAATGACAGCTGACTGGAGTAGTCTGTCACTGTGCCTGCTTGCACTGTCACAGGGCAGAGACTTAAAGTGACTACAGCTCCTTCTGCTGAAGAGAGATCTCCAGCCAAGTGCTGCCCGAGAGGCTTGTTGAGAAGCGGCGGAGAGCAGCTCCTCCCGCTCTACTCGGCATCTCGGGTCTGCACACCCATCTCTCAGCAGCTCTGAGCCTCCTGGGACCTTGGGACTTAGCTTTGCTCAGGGGGAAGGAGGAGAGGAGACAGGGTCAGAGCACCACAGGCTCAGACTTTTTTTTTTGAGTTTTTGGAAGGTTAAAGGAAGTGAAATAACTCAGAACTATGAGTAATTAAGTTTCAGATTTAGAATTTCTTTTTTATTTTGGTGATCTTATGTGACTCGAGAAAGCTTTAATGGCTTTCCCCCTTCAGTTTTGTCTACTATTGAATTTTTATAAAGTGGATATTCTCAAAGTGGATCATTACTTTAGTTGATGTCATATTGAATAGTTCTCAATATGCTTCCATAGGCTGATTTTATCCTCACAGAAACCCTGTGGAGTAAGCACAGTGGCTGCTGATACTCTTTTACAGATAGTAACTGATTTACGAACCAGAAACTGATAGGGGAAGTGAATTGTCCAAATTCCCATAGCATGATCAACCACTGCAATTTACCAGAGACTCAGGGGTTTCCTGAGACACATGAATTTCAACGCTAACACTGAGATGTTGGTTTTCAGGGCTAATACCCAAACCAAGGAGCTAATTGAGACTTAAATCTGGGTTTTGAGTTCTCATGCTGTTTTTCCTATCTTACTTTTCCTCTAGGTTGTATGAACACCCAGTTTCAAAGAAAGTAAATATTTCTCTAAGAGAAATATCAGAAATACAGAAATCTTTCAGGTCTTTATATCATAAGATTCTTTCAGCCATTAGTCACCTCACATTCATTTTTTTTAGCTATTTCATCATAAAATATCATTATTGCTCATGTAATTCAAAATATATATCAAGAAACGTAAAAAAAATCACCTAAAATTATTCTAAATATTTGTGATGACATGATTCATCTGTGAAGAAGTAACTTATTTTCCTTCCTTTTTTACAGGGTCATTTGGCTCAGACACAAACACCACCTTTGGTAACTATCTCATTTATTTGTTGTCATAAACGTCTTCTAAAGTAACGTTAGCAGTTCCCCATTCCCTTAGGCCAGTTGGAAAGCAGTAAATCCCAACCACAAGCAATTGGTGTGTATCAATTTTTTTGCCTTTCCTCAGGAGTTACAAACAATGTCTATATATTTTTTCCTTTTAGGAGAGCAGTGAGTCATCAGAAGAAAGTAAAGTTAGCTCAGAGGAGCAGGTAATTAAACAGACCTTTCTTAACTTTTCAGACTGTTTAGGAATGGAAGGAAATGTTAAATTACCTGGCGACTGTTCTAAATATAACCTTTTCTAACCATTGGTTATGCTGACGAAATAGTCCCATAAAATAGGAGGGGAGAAATGAGTGGGAGAATTCAGATGTGGACATGCTGTTCATTCCATATTTGTCACTGGGGTCAGATTATAGACATTGTGGCCCTTAATTTCCCTCTAGTTAAAAAGAACACGCACGCGTGCGCGTACACACACACACACACACACACACACACACACACATGGTCACAGACTATGTTAGATGAACAACAGTTCATTCATCAGTCTAAAATGTTGCTTTTACAATTAGGGCAGTTCAGATCAGGCAGAGAAAAGTGTCCTGGCTAACATGGCTCGAAGTATCTGCCGGGCCTGGAGACCTCCTCCCTCAAGCACCCTGCTGAGGAGGGACCAGGAGAGCTCTGAGGAAACTTGGAAGAAACAGTGGCCTTAGTAACGACGTTCTCTTTAAAATAGTCTCCTCTGTGGTCCTGGGGTTGAGAAAAGCTGAGTTAACTGATATCTCTTTAACAAAACACTGTTTTTCTCTTTTTCCTCTCTCCTCCTCCTCCTCCTCCTCCTCCTTCTCCTCCTCCTCCTCTTCCTCCTCCTCCTCCTCCGTTTCTCTAAGACTAAATGTCATTACTTTCTTAGCTGTTCTATCATTTTTGACTGGACTAAACCCTATGGGCTCCAGAGATTCTGGAAACCAGGTTTTCCTCTGCGGGGCTGCATTCTATACTCAACCACAGCTGGAAGAGGAATTATTAGGCTTTGTGCCACTACTTACTAAAGGTTTGTTAGAGGAACATTCTAGAAATTGATGAGCATAGAACTGGGAAAATGCTCTCCTCCAGGAAGTGGTGGTTTATTACCACAGTGTTCTCTGAGCTCAAATGCGGGACAGTGACAGTCTGCTTGGGGAGGGTGCCGCATCCCCTGTGGCACAGAGAGCCACACAGACGCTCAGGTGCAGCATTTCAGTGTAAACTACTGATGGGAAGAGACCTCATTATGTCGTATTCCCGACTGGAAACTCAGATGTTGATCGGTAGGAACATGTACAAAAAGAAAAAAAGAATGAACAAGAATGAGAACGAGCAGATTTTCTCAGATCTCAGTGATGATGACTCACCATCCTTCCTTATCTGTGTAGAGCATCCCATTGTTTTACCTACGGGAACAACCTGTCCGAGCTCACTGACCTGAGCTGCCTTGGTAGTCACACTAGCTGCGATCTTCTAGCTAAGCTTTATACGGGCAACTCTCTGCCTGGGCAAATAAGGTATAAGCACGATTTGGGTGAGATGTAGACTGTATTTCAATGTTTTACTTTCATTTTAGCTAAAGATTTCATCCTCTTGCTTTAATACATACCCCCCCCCCCCAACAGATTTGATTCAGAAAAAAAATTTGGGGGTCATTTTTATTTTTTTTATTTTATTTTTTTTTAATGAATTTTTATTTATTTTTTTGTTACAGATATTTTACCTTTTTACCCCATTGGCACCCCCCACCCCACCCCCCTCCACCCTGTCCCTGGCTTAGTTGTCCATGTCCATTGGTCATGCATACATGCATATAAGTTCTGTGGTTTATCTCTTCCCACCCCCCCACCCCCCATCCCCTCTTCTGAGGGATGTCAGTCTGTGCCCTACTTCCATGTGTCTGGGTCTACTGTATTCCTCAGACTGTTATGTTCATTATATTCCGTATATAAGTGAGATCATGTGGTATTTGTCTTTTTCTGCTTGGCTTCTTTCACTTAGGATAATACTTTCCAGGTCCCTCCATGTCGTCTCAAAGGATAAGAGATCTTTCTTTCTTACCGCTGCATAGTACTCCATTGTGTATATGTACCACAGCTTTTTTATCCATTCGTCTACTGGTGGACACTTGGGCTATTTCCAGATCTTAGCTATTGTAAATAGTGCTGCTACAAACATGGGGGTACATATATTCTTCCTGATTGGTGTTTCAGGCTTCTTAGGGTATATTCCCAGCAGTGGGATCACTGGGTCAAATGGAAGTTCAATTTTTAATTTTTTGAGGTAGCACCATATTGTTTTCCATAGCGGCTGCACCAGTCTGCATTCCCACCAGCAGTGTATTAGAGTCCTTGGGGGTCATTTTTAAATCACTTTGTATTTTTCAAATCTCTGTTTTAAACCAAACAGTTTTATGAGTGAGCATTATAAACCAACTCTTTAATTTACAAAAGACTCTGAAAGTTTTTCTTTCTCAGTTTTTAAATATATTTTCTTTATTGAATTTAGAGAGAGGGGAAGGAAGAGGGAGAGAGAGAGAGAGAGAAACATCGATGAGAAAGGGCATTAACTGGGCCCAGCTGGTGTGGCTCAACGGTTGAGCATCGACCCATGCACCAGGAGGTCGCTGGTTTGATTCTTGGTCAGGGCACATGCCCACGTTGTGTACCAAATCCCTAGTGGGACGTATGCAGGAGGTGGCCGATAGATGTTCTCTCTCATTGATGTTTCTATCTTTCTCCCTCTCCCTTTTTCTTTCTCTAAAATCAATCAAGAAAAAAAAAAAAAGAATATTGATTGGCTGCCTCCTGCATGTCCCCCACTGGGGATTGGGCCCACAACCTAGGCACATGCTCTGACCGGGAATTGAACTTGCGACCTCCTGGTGCATGGGTCAGTGCTCAACCGCTGAGCCACACCAGCCAGGCTCTCTGAGAGTTTTTTAAGGAATCATACTTACAATATGATTTGAGTTTTATAAATATGATTCAATAAAGCTTTTTTGAGAATTTTTTTGCAGCATGAGTGAATTATACTTGTATAAAATGGAATGACTTGAGTTTCAATTCCTCTTCCATGCTTTTTAACCTCTGGTAAAGATGTTATTGAGCAGTGAAATTGACTGTGGTTTAGATGAGGGATGTAGGAAGAAGAAAACAGAAAGAACCTAGATGGATACTAGATAATACGCACCCTCTGTATCACCTCCTGTGGTACTGACCATGTCTGTTAACCTCAAACTCCAGGTAAATGAAGACCCCAGTGACAGTGCCGAATCAGAGGAAGGCCTGGGCCTTCATGATCATCCATATGTTCATGGGTCAGCTGGTGGCCTCTCTAGGAATGGAGGAAAGGAAGGCGATGATAAAGATGATGATGAAGATGACAGTGGAGATGACACCTTTGGTGATGATGACAATGGCCCAGGACCTGAAGAGAGACAAGGAGGAAACTCCAGACTCAGAAGCGATGAAGACTCAGCTGACACCACACAATCCAGGGAAGACAGTGCCCCAGATACCACCAGTGAGAGCAGGGACCTTGGCAAAGAGAGCGAGAGTGAGGAGCACTGGGTGGGAGGCGGCAGTGAGGGAGACAGCAGCCACGGGGATGGCTCTGAGTTTGATGATGAAGGGATGCAGAGCGATGATCCAGACACCATCAGGAGTGAGAGAAGCCACTCCAGAATGAACAGCGCCAGTGTCCGATCAAAAGAATCAAAAGGGAACAGTGACGAGCAAGCAAGCACTCAGGATTCAGGGGAGAGCCGATCAGGGGAGAATCCCGCTAGGAAAAGTTTCAGGAAGTCCCGCATTTCTGTGGAAGATGACACGGGTGATCTTGGTAATAGCAACACAATGGAAGACGTCATGAGTGACTCCGCAGAGGACACCAAGTCCAAAGAAGCTGGCCTCAGCCAATCCAGGGAAAACAGCAAGAGTGAATCTCAAGAAGACAGTGAGGAGAATCAGTCCCAAGAAGACAGTCAAAATGGACAAGACACCAGTAGTGAATCTAGTCAAGAGGTTGACCTGCCATCTCAAGAAACCAGTAGTGAATCTCAGGAAGAGGTAATGAGTAAGTCCAGGGGTGACAACCCAGATAATACCTCCAGTCACTCAGAAGAACTTCAGGAAGATAGTGAGTCCAGTGAGGAGGACAGCTTGAGTACGCCCTCCAGTTCAGACAGCAAATCCAGGGAGGAGCAAGCTGACAGTGAATCCAATGAGAGCCTCAAATACTCCGAGGAAAGCCCCGAGTCCGCTGAGGACGAGAACAGCTCTAGCCAGGAGGGCCTCCAGTCTGACAGGGCCTCCACGGAGAGCCAGAGCGAGGAAAGCCAGTCTGAGCAGGACAGCCCGTCTGAGGAAGACAATGACAGTGATTCTCAGGACAGCAGCAAATCACAAGAAGATAGCAACTCTACTGAGAGCAAATCAAGCAGTGAGGAAGATGGCCAGTCAAAAAACACTGAGATAGAAAGCAGAAAATTAACAGTCGATGCTTATCACAACAAACCCATCGGGGATCAAGACGACAATGACTGCCAAGATGGTTATTAGCATCAGCTTTCCCAAGAAGTGGTTCTCAGGTAGAGGAGCCTTAGAGGTTGGAGAGCGAGGAAAGAATTCTAACTGTAACTTGTTTTTATCAGAAGGATAACTGAGGGTCATTGCTTTCTGAAAGGAATTGCTGGACATTACTTTTGTTTCTAGGGTGTCACCAACCGTAGAGGTTTAAATAATGGGGAGTGACACCAGAACACAATGAAACGGGAAGCAAGGAAAGATACGCATTATAGCTTCACAGCTGAAATAGTTCCTAACTCATGAACCTAACAAACAGTTACTGACATTCCATTACATGCCAGGCACTGTGCGAGGTGCTAGGGATATAAAGAAGCTTACGGCTTGTTTCTTGCTCCTGGGGAGCTTACAGAGGGATAAATAAAGCTAAAAAGCTAAAGAGGAATACATATAAGGGAAACAAGAATTACTGCAATCCCATGTGGTGAGTGCTATCACAGAGGTGTGAACACAATTTATGAGAGTGTAGAAGGGGGCAACCAACTTTGCCTTGGGGAGTCAGGGAAGGGAGGACTTCACTGCAGAGAAGACACTGGAGTCAGAACACTTCATAGGATTATTTCACTGACGATGAGAGAATTTCATTTATTCTTGAGATAAGTAACAGTAAGTCCTATATAATTGAATGTTTAGTTTGTGAAAGCACTTTCAAGTTATGAACCAGAGTGAGATGTTTGGATACACACAACTTTTTTCCAACTAATTTATCAGTTTTGACATTTTTTTGGTGGGACTCCCATGAATATCACCTCATTGACCACTGGTGATGATGTGGAGGACTGGATGGGGACAGTGGGAGGAGATTCCTCTTTAAATAGAAAACTTTTAGCTTTATTTATTTTTTCTAAAATCTGTCTATGTGCAATGCTAGGAAAACTGTCCTCTGAGTCCTTTACATATGTTGCACATAAAATTGTATATATAGAATTCAATTGATTTTTGCCAAATACCCTTTGAAATGTTACCTCAACATAAAATATTTGTTTTGTAATAAAGATAAAAATAGCCCAAAGTATGTGCTTATTTTTTATAGTGATAGTATTAGGATATCTGTATATTAAACAACACTTCCTCTAAAACATCACAAGGTAGTTTATTAGCTTTCTTCCATTAAAATAAAAAAATTTCTTAAATTATTTTTTGAAATTTAATTTTATTTATAATTCAGGTAGCACTTTGATAAAATGACTTTACATGTTGTTTATGATATGTCACTGAGTATACCTGTTATAGATATGGAAAAAAGAAAACAAATTCTCAACTTTTTTATGAGGCCGCACCAAAGGGTCGCGGTGTTTGAATTTAACATTAGTTCTTGCTGGTCTCTCAGATTGGCCTTTTGTGAAAACTGTGGGAATTACAAGGAAACGTTCCTTATATTTTTATTATCGTTGGAGGAACCTACTTCACCTCAGCATTTCTACTTTTCGAGCATGCTTTCACCCACATTTCAGCTTGGAGGGCACGGAATGCCTCTACAAATTTGTCACAAGAATCAAGGAGACTTCCCTTGGGTCTGCCCCTTCTCCTTTCTCACTGTTCTCTCACAATGTCAAAGCAGCGGTCACTTGGGGGGATTTTATATAGTGTGGGGCAAAAGTTGTTCATATGAAAAATAATACAATAATAAATAAATAATAATACAATAATAAATTCTGTGTTTTGTGTACTCACAACTATAAACCAACATTTGTCCCATCCCATGTGTGTGTGTATGTGTGTGTGTGTGCGTGTGTGTGTGTATACAATATTTTTAAATACTTCCCCTTTAGATTTTAATTCGGTATATCTGGAGGATCACTAGTTCTCAATTCAAAGTCCGTGATAGATGCATAAAGCCGGCAGCGCCTGTACTGAGTGCCCACGCACTAGTTACAAGGGGCCCTGGAAAACATATTGCATTTTCAGCTTCTCTGTCACAAGATAAATCTTGTCTCTCATCCAAACATATAAGGAGGTAATTAGTATATGTACTATATATAGGAAGGAGCTTCAGATGCTGGATGAGCAAAAGGATTGAAAAGTGTCCCACTGATGGGGAAGAGATCCAGGTTCATGCCAAAAGAAGGAGCAGCATTCATGCCGTGAGAATGACCAAGTCAACGTCCATGGCTGTGGGGTGACCATGTTGGTGACGATGGGAGGAGTGAGACGAATATCAAGGGGAATGCATGGAACACCAAGGCAGCCAAGGGGCCTTGAAATGCAAGAGAGCTAACATTTACTAAGCAATCAATATGCTCCAGATCCTGTGCTAGGTGTCTCACCTTGGGCCAGAGTTCTAGGAATTCCACTGATGGATCCCAGAGATAGAGATTAGAGATGTCATCTATGTGTTCCCAGGCTGCTGTGGCAGACAGGGAAAAAAACCTCTCACATTATACATAGTCAAGGTACTCTAAAACTAAGCTTCATGGGGGAAGGTGTCTCTAAACCCTTAAAATTGTTTGTTAAAATTTTGATATATATGGGTAGAGGAGCCCAAGTATATTTTCATCAGATTCCCAAAAGAGTCCATGACGAAGCTGCTAGAATCTATTCATTAAATAAAAGAAATAACACTGACAATCAATATATCTGTCTGGACCTTGTTCTGTGGAACTATTGCATTCTGGGAAAACCCAGCTCAGTGCAGAGGAATAGATTTGGGGGTATAGCATGTTTCATATTATACGTATCACTTGCTATGCATCACTTGTGTTTATAGCTAAAGCTATAAACCTAAAGGAAGAGGGTGTATCACACAATAGGTTTTTGATCAAATAAATACAAATCTTAAACTTCTCAAATGTTAATGAAAATAAACATTCTCAAAATAAAATTTAAACAACCATATAGTTCCTTTGTATGCTAAGTATATTTAGATTTGGGGTTGTATGTTGACGTTGTAGAGATTGAGAACGATCCCTAATATTCATTCCCCTCTTTTTTGTATCAGCATAGAAGTCTTTGGTTTGGGCGCATCGCTGCCCAGATGCAGACCCCACTTCCCAGGCTTCCTTGCAACTGGGCATGCGTGTGGGCAGATGGGATGTGTTCCGCCTCTCTCCTTTCCTCTCTTCCCATTCGCTGGAAAGTGATAACAATTGATATAGCTCATTTGTACCAAAAGTTACCCTCCTCTTGTTTTTTTTCATGAGAGAGAAATAAACTTCAATTGTATTTAATCCTCCGTATTTTGATGTGTCCTTGTTACAGCAACTTAATCTACATCTTCACTAACACATGTATATACATGCATATTCAGAGACTATATAAATGTAATTTGTAGTTCTTACCAAAAACACGGAGTAATCTTTCCTTTATTTAATAATTGAGGAAAATGTGTTCTTCACACATTTTCCATACGCAGCAAGCTTTAGTATTATCTAGATGAAGTTGCTTTTTAGACTGTGACTTACTAATGAAGTATACAAAAATACACAGGTCAGTTAAAAAGAATGATGTATTTAGGCTTTGCAAATGTGGGAACTGAAGAGAATTCCCCAGCACATAAATTATTCTTTAGGAATAAATAGAAGTTGTACTGATGTTTCATGAAACTGCTAGGAACCATTTAGAAAATGTCTATGTTAAGGACTAAAATTATTGGTCAGAGTTTCAAGTTGTGATGCTGATTATTTACGTACACTTTTCAAACCTGGCCGTTACGAATGAACGCGATGAAAAAGAGGTAAGGGTGTTAGCTTGCTCCCAGTCCGCTGCGAGCTGAATAGCACCAGTTCTTAGCAAAGGCTGAACATCACCGAAGAAGCTTTTAAAAAAAAAAAGTCTTTGCCCAGGCTGCTCAGAGATTCTGATTGAATTAGTCTGGGTTTGGGCTTTGGCACTGACAGTTTTTAAAAGCCTCATTCTGGCCGGTTTTGCTCAGCGGTTAGAGCATCGGACCGTGGACCAATGAGTCAAGGGTTCAATTCCGGTCAAGGGCATGTACCTTGGTTATGGTTCGTCCCGGTCCTGGTCGGGTCGGGTCGTGTGGGAGGCAACCAATGATGTGTCTTTCTTACATCAATGTTTCTCTCTTTCCTTCCCACTCTATCTGATGATAAATGGAAAAATATCCTCGGTTGAGGATTTAAAAATAAACAAGAGGCCTCAGGTAACCCTGGCCAGTGTGGCTCAATTGGTTGAGTGTCATCACAGGCACCAAGAGGTTCCTGGTTCAATTCCTGGTCAGGGCACATGCCTGGGTTGTGGGCTTGATCCCAGTAGGTAGTGTGTGGGAGGCAGCTGATGGATGTTTCTCTCTCTCATTGATGTTTCTATCTCTCTTCCCCGCTCCTCTCTCTCTAAAAACCAATAAAACTTATTAAAAAATAAAATAAGAGGCTAGGGTAATTCTGAAATGTAGCCAGCATTGAGAATCTTGCTATAATATAAGTTAGTTCTGAAAACTTTGAGACACTCTTGGGCCCAAGGTGTGGGCCAAATTTTGGAGATAAAACACTAAACAAACTCAATCCCATTTTATGTGACGAGTTGAATTCTTACATCAGTCACACAGGCTTGGCTGCTCCTTCTGCCAACACACAAATAGGCTCAGCATTTGAGTAACTGGAGCATTTAGCTCTCATCATCTCCTGGATGGTGATTAGTCAAGACAGAACAAGTCATCAGAAAAAAAATGCAAAGATATTTTTGCTTTTGGTAAACTGCCCATCCCAAGGCCAGTCAGAATATAGCATCTCTGAGTTTTACTCTCATTGGCTTTCTATCAGCATCTGTCTCGTCCTCAAAATAAATCTTACTTAAGCCCGTGAATGGTTTACCTCTGTCTGTGAACTTTGACTCAACAGATGGAAGAAATTAACAGCCGGAGAAACAGCTACAGACTGCAGGTATCTCACGGTCAGACACTCGGAACGGAAAGCCTGGCTTTTCCCTTGTCGGGAGATCATAACTATTATTTTAAGCAGCTGCATATAAATGTAGTGTTTGGTCAGGACCTTATTGTGTAAATAATATGAAAGAGACCA